GAGGCAGAAGGGGAACCTCAGTCCTCCTGTACTCAGACCCGAGGAGGGGCTGCTGGGGTCGGCCGGGATGAATTCCCTCTGCTCCTGAGGTGATCTAATTGATTTTTGTACCCTGAGCCATCTGGCGTGGAGTAAGTGTGTGTGTGTGTGTGTGGTGGGGGGAGAGCAAGACAACAGATCACCTCTTGAATTTGGTTTTAGGCTCATATTTGCCATTTAAAAGCATTCTACTCTTTCTGTGGGGGATTGTAATTAAATCACTATGTGCTAGCTAGAGCATGCTTTTGACATCATCACCAAAGGTCACATGTGTTACCTATAGGACAGTCTCTTCATTTCACCTGAGAAATGTTCACCTAACACAATAACCAGGGTGTTTCATGCTGTTTTTTTATTTCTGACGAATAAAGATGTCTGAGATGATAAAAAGTTGAGTTGAAACTAGTGAAATCTGTACTGTTTTCATATATTTTGAAACAATTTTCCACAAACATTTTTATGGTTTCTAACTTTTATGGTTTATTTTTACATTTCAACTATTTTGCATTATAAATGCATAATTTGACCTGCACAAAGTGTGCCTTTCATAAATAATGGAATATTTTTTTTTTTACCTTAATAATGTCTGTGGACAAAATGTGTTAAAATATTTTAATGTCTTTCTGTGAAATAAATAAATAATAATAATAATAATAAAAGATTATTATGTTACTTTTAGCTTTTTAACTTTCTGAAACATTTCCGCCCTCATCCTTTAGCGTCATATAGGTGACGGGTTCCCGTGGGTTCCCGTGTTATATTAACGATAAAGGGTGCCATGTGCGTAGTAGTTTTGTTTAAGCAATAATATATATATATATATATATATATATATATACATATATATATGTAAAGGCTAGATATGTCGTCCACGCTGCTGGCCAATGGAGGTCGACGTCTGCACCTGGCGGCCATCTTGTCACAGGCAGCTCGCTCAATCGTAACATTGTGTTAATGGTACATGTACTATTTAAATGACCATAACTTGCTCAATTTTCTACCGATTTTCAAACGGTTTGTTTTGTTAACATCAGAGATGTAGTTATGACACTGCGTACTTATGAATAAAAAGTGTATAAATAAATAATCATCCAGATAATTATAGCCACGTTAATAACGTTTGTAAGAAACCAAACCGTTTGTAAATGCGTCAAGATTTCAACGAGATAAAAGTATTTGTGTTCGTGCTGACCACTCATTACATCAGCTTGTCTGTGACAAGATGGCCGCCGGTGATGACGATGGAAACTCCGCCGTAACACATCTAGCCTTTATATATACATATCTATGGTTTATTCATCACTTGTATGACGCTAAAGGATGAGAACAGAGTGGCTCTTTTAATGAGCTTGATTATTTTTCTAGTTAGGGATCTTGTTTTAAGGGTGTGCACATTTAGACAACTTAGTATTTGTTTTGTTTTTAGAAATTTAAAATAGAAAATAAAAATCGCAGTGAAGGGGTTATCTGATGATGTTTAATGTGGACAAAAAGATCATGTAGCTTCTATAAATGAATCAGCGTAAACCTCCAATTTATGTGCTCATGTTACAGCAGTGATGCAGTTGGTCTTTTCTTACAGTCTCCGAGGGAAGATGCTATTACGTATCAGCAACATTAATAACAGTTGTTTTTTCCCCCCTAGCTTTTGTTATTTGTGTCTGTGTAAAAGACACAAATGTGTGTGTTTGCATGTTTGTTAGCACATGTGGGGCAGTGTTAATATCCTGCCCTGTGGCACAGTCTCACTGCAGTATTCTCAGCTGAATCAGAATCAATAGAAAAATTTGGTTAGGTCATATAGGGTTGAGTACAGTTTTACAGTCGTTTGGACTATTTAAATAAACAGAAATGCAATTTCCACATGCAGCAAATGCCTAAAATGAAAATCAGGTGCACTGTTGCACAGGTGCAAATGATTAGAAGCTCATTAGAGAGTAAATGGAGGGGCACTGCCTTATATAAACATCAGAAAGTTGTGGTCAGGTTTGGTCTTAGCAGCTGAGGAGTGTGGCGACATCACGCTGAGATCAAAAGAGTTCGTGGAGGCCCTCAGAAAAGAACGCCACTGATGATTGTGAGTTTAAGCGCCGTTTTGAAACGATTGTCAAACAATTCAATGTTAGTCTCTCCACTGTTACAAAAAAAAAAAAAAAAAAAAAAATCAGCTGAATTTATCCCGCCTAGGTGGTCCAGCCATATTGCACTGAAGTCACTGACATCATGAAACTCTACATGTGATGTGAAGATGGAAAAAGTCACCATTTTTATTAAGGTAAGACCCTGGCAGCAATTTTTAGTGTTTCTATGTGGTTACTATAACTAATATATATATATATATATATATATATATATATATATATATGAAGAGTTCAGATGCAAAAGCCTCTAAATGCTATTTGACATTTTCTTCTTTAATGATGATTTTTATCAAACTAGTATATTTAAGTTCAGTAATTTCACTTAAATAACAATTAATCATTGCCATTTAAGTGAAATCACTGAACTTAAATATACAAGCTTGATAAAAATGATCATTATAGAAGAAAATTTCAAATGGCACTTTGAGGCTTTTGCATCTGAACTCTTCATATATTTTTATATATATATATATATATATATATATATATATATATATATATATATATATATACATATATACACACACACACACACACACACACAATAGGCTACCTGTCAAAAGTTGGAAAACATAAAAAAAAATGTGATCTGTTTCTGATGCTGAAAAGTTAGTTCATGTAATGCATTACTGGTTCCTGCAGCCTCAATAAACTAGCAACAATTAGTAGCAAACTAGCAAAATGACACTACATATTAATATCTATATATTTAGAATGCATTGTCATTGCAGTCCCTGTTGGTGTAATGGGCAGATGTCTCAACACACACACACACAAAACGGATCACTTTGTGAGATTCCCACTTTCAGTATCTGTAGCCTAGTACAAACGGTGCATAAGCTACTTACCAAAGTTTAATTTCTTTTGGCACGTTTAACTTCATATTGGATGATGGCCTAAAGATCATCATAAAATAACTAGCTGTCAAGCAGTGTTTATCATCCATTCTGCCGACAGAGGAAATGCAGAGAAAAGCAAGCTATTTACTTTAGTTTTGCATGATGTGCAATAAAAATGTCGCAGAGCCTTATACATTAAACTTGAACTTCAACTGTGCTTATTCCACCGACAAAACTGTTGATTAAAACCAAGTGTGCTGAAACAATCCAAGTAAAATATTGATGGTAAAATCTCAGTGATTTTGTGAATGCAGCATTAATCCTCATGCCTACGCACAGTGAATAAACATGATTTTTAAGTAAAGGCTAATGTTTTGAGCACAGATGTGGGCTATTTGTATTTGATTGTGCTATCCACTAAATTTCCCAGGGGATCTTCTGTTCTCGGCTTTCACTCTTGGCTTGTTCCTGTGCTGTTGTCCATCAGCTTTCAGCTACTGCTGAAACTGTTAGTTTTTCAGACTGTTGCCATGGCAAGAGGGGTCATGAGAAATAGATTCTGATTTTGAGTGTCCCGTTTGATGGATGTTCAGACGACCACTCGGTTCATAAAGCTTTGCAGAAGTAAAGAGTGAAACATCCAGGTGCCACAGAGCTCAATAATGTTCTGGCTGCTGTTTTAACAAAATTATTTATGGCAGTTTGACACACACAAACACAGCGAGTGAGTCTATTCCCCCTATGGTAGCGGGTTGAGTATGCATCACATCATTTTCAGATGTTAGTCAGATCATAGATTTATGTTTTGCTGCATTAATAATTCACGCGCTCCATCCAAAATCCCGCATGGCAACCTGATCCCAATCAATGACTTTAGTAGAGGTTTTAATTCACAGTGAATGTCTCTGTATTTCTATCATAAAAGTCAACTCGTCCTTTACAATATATGCCTATAACTCTTCTGACCAATGAAGATTTACATCTCTCGTAATGTGAAATATTGTAGAAAAGCTGAATGTTGAATTCTTGAAGTATTTTATTGTGAGATGGGGAGTCATTAAAAAACAAAATAAAACAATCAAACAAAAAGCTACCACTAAAAAGGTTAAAACAGGGACATATAAAAGACTTTGTTGCCTCGATGTAGACAAAGAGAGTTACAAATTGGCACAACCAAAAATAATAATAATAAAAAAACAACACATTGATGATGTTTTGGCTTCGTTAAAAGGGCAGCACAGTTTCATGGTGAAGGACAATCTTTCGATACAACAGCAAAGACTCATGCGTGTATAGCATACAATTCGTTTTCAGACGTTCAGTAGCTTCAAAGTATAGTGGGGTAAGAGACAGTGACATGAAAGTGACGTGTAAAATGTAACAGTTCTGATATACTTTTAGGGGTGTTTTTGTCTTTTTTTTTTTTCTTCAAACAATGCATTTTGAAAATTATACTTTTCTGTTTTAAAACACTTTGAAATGCTAGTTTCTCCCCCAGCTTTGTATTTATTTAATCTTCGAAATTATTCTTCATACTAAAATATATTATTGTATTAATACAAACTACAGTATTGTACACTACATTGTGTAATAAATAACCATAAAGAAAATACAAAAATAAGACACATAAATATAAAAGGTCTCTAAAACTAAAAATGTAAAGTTATACTGGTGAGGGATGGGAGGGGTAATACTGCCTTTACTGAAAACAAAACAAACAAAAAAAAAATTACACAATGTTCACTGAAACAAACAACAACAAAAAAAAAACTTCAATACAAACAAGACAAAAATTAATACTGACAGGTAAAAAGGCTGACCGAAAAAAAAAAAAAAAAAACAAACAAACGAAAAACACTAAAAGTGAATTCTTCATTGATCATATCTATTTGTTACCTGAAGAAAAAGTGTCGTGCTGCTAAAGATAACAAGAGAAACAAGTGCACCAAATGGGGAAAATACTTCAAGGCTGAAAAAGAGATTTTTTTTTACTCCTTTTTGCTCATCGATCGTCTTTCCTGAATTCTTGATGCAACGTAGTCTTTATACTGGATTGTTCAAATGAAAAAGAAAAAAAGAGGCAGTCTCGTCCTTTAGTCAGGACTAGTGGTTTAGGTGCAGGGGTCCAAAATTTTGCTACTAAAAACGAAGACGGCATGAGCCCCACGTGAGTGTGCTGCTTAGCGGAGGCGTCACAGCGACGGCACAGCACTGTTCAATGGCACTTCCAACATGCATGTTTTTGCATAAGGGTGGATGATGAACTTATGGGGAAGGGACTTATGGCGATCACCTGAAACATGATGAAGACTACTTCTAAGGTTTTTCTTTGATGTCCTGGCTTTTTTTTGGAATTCATTAAAGCCCTCCCACCATAACCACATCAATCTTTTTTTTTTACATTTAAGGCTCAGTGTCCTTCTTGAAATGAGACGACAGACAAATGACGTGCTAGTGAGCACTAGCGTGGCTTAGGGAATAACGTCTGGAGCGCTAATACTGGAAGGTAGACATTAAACAACACAAGGCCCACATAGGTGTTCCATAGGTAAACTGGGAATATGGTAGTGCACAGGATACTTTTTCCTTCAAATGCAAGAAAATACTGAGTTTTGTTCATTGGCAATAAAAACGTATATAAATCTCTCTCTCCCGACTGTACAGCTTTTCAGGGTAAACCGAGAGTGACAAAAATTAGTAATACTGATAAAAGAAATTGACCCAAGGCGTTTTAGTAATAAAACATTATTAGCCAAAACGTGTATAGCTTTCAGTCCGTATATGCATCATTTTCTTTTTTGTTTTTGTTCGTTTTTTTTTTTTCCATTAAACTTTGCATTTATACAAACCATACTCAAACACTGAAAATCGTCTTTATGTGGAAAAGTAACTATTTCGTATTTATCAGGCACACCTGGGGGTTTATACACAGTAGTGGGTTTAAATGCAGTGTAAGAGCAGTCACGCTCTCTTCCTCTCCTCGTTCTCGTCTTGACACAGTCAGTTCTCAGGAAGAGAGAAACATCTGCAAAGAGAAAGCGTCTTTTTTGTTCCTTCAAATTAGTAATTTTGTAAAACAACTTCATAAGGAATAAGGGTCTTAAAAACACAGTTGTAGCTTCTCTTCATTTCACGGCTGTGTTTGCTTCATTTTCACTGTTTTTCTCATTGTCCGCCGGGTTCGTGTCCTTCATGTGTTCAGGGGCTCCTGTGTCCATGGCTTCCTCCGCCGTTCGCTCCTCTTCCCCATTTTCTTCCTCTTCACATTCATCCTGCATCACTACAACTTTCAGCATCCGTCCGTCATTTTCCTCTTGTTCCGCCTCCTCCATCCTCTCTCCCTCCCCTTCCTGGTCTTCATCTGCTCCCTGGTCGTCTTCGTCTCCCTCTTCTCCAATCTTGACCACCTGAATCTCATCCTCATCCACTAAGCTCCCAGAGCCTATCTCATCCTCCTCCTCACTCTCATCCTCTCTGGTACTACTCCCCCGCTCGTCCGAATCCAGGTGGGAAGGGGGTGAGGCCGCCGCGCTTCCCGTCCGAGGCTGCTCCTCGCCGTGGTTGTCCTCTTCCTCGACTCCTTGGCCTAGCCCTTGACCTTGAGCCTCTTTCTTACAGTAGGAGTATCTGTGGTTCATGTGTTGCGAGTACGAGCCGGAGTGGGAGAAGCGCTTGCCGCACTTGTCACACTGGTACGGCTTTTCTCCGGAGTGCAAGCGCAGGTGCTCTATTAGGTGGTGCTTGTGTTTGAAGGCCTTGCTGCAGATCCCACATTCATGAGGCCTCTTTCCTGCAGGAGATGAAGAAGTTGCACTCTATTAGTATTCATCTTGGAGTACTTATCCTGTTACCAGAATATACATGGTGAAATACAATAATTTCTGGGCTTATTATAGACTTATAAGGGATGGAAGTGCAGAAAGCTCTCGGACTTAATCTAAAATATCTTAAAGTGTGTTCCGAAGAGGAACAGCGGGCTTGGGACGACATGAGGGTGAGTCATTAATGACGTGATTTTAATTTTTGGATGAACTAACCCTTTATGGTAGTCACATTCACCATTGCTGTGCAAATTTTGCAGGAGAAATCCCATAATTTCAATAGGGCGAACAAGTTCCCAATGCATATTTTGCATGTTCAAGTTGGCAAATGGACTGTGATGACCAATGGCTCACTGCTTGTTTCGAAGTGATTTCTGTGTAAGTGGTGCTAATTGGGCAAATATAAACGCACATTGAAGGTGTTAAAAATCATGTCATGTACACTGGAAATTTATAATAATGTTTTTTTTTAGCTGATTGACACTGTTAGGCAACAGTACAGCATATTAAATTGACTCATTTTCGTCAATTATATGCATGCCTCGAAAACCACTGTCACACAGTTCAACTTCTAAAGGCCATAAAGGAAAAAAATCTTGTAATCTCCACATAGCACTAGAAAATCCACCCACACCCAGCCTTCAACCCTAGATCTTTAAGGCATTAAGAATTGCACTACATGTTGTTATGTAGCCATGGACAATAAGACCAAACAATGAATCAAAACAAGCTGTGGTGCACAAGACAGGCCAGTTCCACAAAGGCCTGGAAGTTTATAAACTGTGGCTTCAGAGAAAAAAGACAGCATAACTTGTGGTTCAAGGTGCTGTGATGTCATTTGGATGAGTGCTTCTCGCTTTTTGGCCAGGTATCTTAACAGTAAGAGTGAGGTGACCTGCTCTTGGCTTTGCTAACTTCTCATGTTTTTAGAGTAAAAGAGGGAGGAGGAGTGTAAATTACAAACAGAGAACTGATGTAACAGCCTGGGTTCGGTGTGAGAAGGTAATGTATTTGGCCAGAGGATGAGGGAAAATAAGTCACCGCACCCTCCAGCATGTGTAATTTAACAGTGGTTGGAACTTAAAATTCAGTTCTGCTCCCAGTGTAATAGGTAAAATTACTGCAATACAACGTATTCTGTCATAATTTCCCCTTCAATATCACTTCAAATCATATTTCTATGAATGCCCAACCATTTGTGTATGGAGGGACATCTAAAACAGGCCTAACTGCTTTCTTAATGTCTAATTTTCTCCTTGGTGAGTGGACCTTGGAGACTCCTACCTGTGTGTTCGTATTTATGGCGGAGCAATGAGCTGCTCTTCTGGAAGATTTTGTCACACAGGTCACAGGCATACAGCCCACTCTCTGTCCTTTTCATCTTCTTCCTCGTCGGCCCTGAGTCTGAGTCTGTCTGTTCTTCCAATGTTGAGGTGACCTCTGACCCCATCTCCTGTTTCTCCTCCTTCATCAAGAGAAAAAGCAGATCATTGTATTTGAAGTAATATAACCAAGGATACATTTGAGGGAACATATATGTATACACACTCAAATGTTAGTTTAGAGCAGAGATAGAGAACGCTATTCTGCAGAGTTTAGCTCCAACCCTAATAATAAAAAATAAAAAAAAACAACTTACCTGCGTGTAGCCTTGGTGATCCTGAAGACATTATTTAGCTTGTTCGGGTGTGTTTGTTTTTGGTTGGAACTAAACTCTGCAGGACAGTGGCCCACCAGGACCGCCGTTCCCCATCCCTGGTTCAGAGCTACTGTTGTGGACCCCTAAGCTAACATGCAGTGAATGTGAGGTCCTCACCTTAATGCCATTGACGTGTATAACGTTCTTCTGTGGTGTGTCGGCCCCTGCTGGGCTGGAGGATGTAGTGGTGTAACTGTATGTCAGCTGTGGGATCAAGATGGTCTGTTTAGTGGTGGCAAGTGCACGTAGACATTGTGCTTGTCCCTGGTCAGTGATAGCCACTAGGGTGGGCAGTTGAGTGGTCACAATGTTTATGGGATTGGCACTTGGTTGGCTGGCAAATATGGCAGCATTGGTGCTTGCATTGCTGAGCAGTTCCTTCTTTGTGCAAGTCAAATTCAGTGGCTCCTCTTGAGCCGAGTAAACAGTGTTAACGTGACCGCTAGCCACAGGAGCTGTAGCAGCGGATTTTGGTAGCGACAGATCGAGAGGTCCTTCGCCTTCTTCAAGAGTCCTGGCCGGGACAGGACCATCGGCCGATAGGTTTAGTGGTGAAGGGGATGTAGGGACACTCTCGATCCCATTCACACCAGCTGCTATGTCCTCTACTGGACTACTGCATTCCCTCTCCCCTTGCTCCTCTGAGTTCATTTGATCATCTGGCTCTGTTCTGGGCGATCCACCTCTAGTCCCATCCAAATCCCCAGGGGTGGTCTGCTCGTCTTCAGCCAGGGGTGAGGTGGGGTCTATGGAGATCTGTCCCAGCTGCATCTTCTCAAACCACTTCTTTACCACCTCTGCTGGAAGACTGACAGACTCGGAAATCTTTGCCAGCTCCTCCTTGGTGGGCTCATTGTTTAAGGCAAAGTAAGCCTTAAGCAAGGAGAGAAGGTTCTTCAGAGGAGGCTGACCAGGACACAGTCCTTCCTCCAAGTCCATCTTCCCGTCAAGATTTTTCCCGTTTACCCTATGTCCATCTTTACCACAGTGCTTAAGTGTTGTGTCATTGTGTAACATACTCTTTTCATCCACAGTGATGGTGGTTTTGTCCCTATTTGTCTTCACAGTCAGGTCCTCTGGCAGCTTTTGAGCCTTGCAGACCTCCGTGTTCAACCCCAAAGGTTCCTTCTTCGGACTTTGAAGGAGTGCTTGGGCCTGTGACGGGTCCAGACTGTAGTTGATGATGATCTTAGCATTGCCATCCTGATCCAAGATGGGGAGACTAATGGCCTGGATGACTTGCTGGGATGCTTGAGCAATTCCCAACCCTCCTGCACCAACGATTCCTGTCCCCGCTTGCTGCCCTTTAGTTTGCGTGCTTTCCAACACTTGCCTGATGACGTTGCCATCCACTGCTACCTTCAGCACATTCTGTAAGTCCCCCAGGTTGATGCTGATTGGGGATACCAGTGTTGGGAGCACAACAGCCTGAACGGCACCCTGGAGAGGGGCTGACGCCCCACCTTGGAACATGCCATTTACGCCTCTAGCAGATGGGGCCACCACCACAGGCTTGTACTCATAGTCCAGCGGCTCAGACTTGATCTGCGTCAATGGAAGCTGCTCCTGAAGGGGTTTGCTGTTGTCCAGTTTGTCTCTGACTTGGACACGTGCTGTAGGGGAAGAGGTTGGCAGGGATGGGGAAGAGCACTGCGGGGTCTTGGCAGCCCCGGTGGCGGGAGAAGGTCGTGGCCGCCCGTTTACTGAGATGAGGCCGATACACTTCTTACTGCTTATGTGGGAACTGTAGGAGCCGGAATGAGAGAAACGCTTTTTGCAGTTGGAGCATTCATAAGGCTTTTCTCCTACAAAACACACATAATAGAGAAATGAAACAAGTGACACTTCACATATAACAAGGTCTTCAACTCTATTGCTTTTATTTTTGAGGACATCGAAAGAATGTAGGAGAAAATCGATTCAAGTACAATAAAACGTCACCTCAGTGGTGGTCCTAAAAAGAAACTATTACAACTCAGAAAAAGCTTCTTTTTTTTTTTTTTCAAACAGTAAAGGCCATGAAAATGTTTAAAGCAAACGCAATGTTTAAAGGACAAACTCTCTTTGACAGTAAGTAATGAAAGTTCTTTGAAGTATTTGAATGCTGAATTGCCCTACAAATTTGTACAAAGAAGTGAATGATTGTATACACCTATGCATGCTTGCAAACACACAAACACACACACATTATTCTAGCAGATTTTAGGCAGCCCTCACCACTGTGGATGCGCAGGTGTTCTTTCAGGTGGTGTTTGTACTTGAAGGCTTTGCCACATTCAGTGCATTTAAACTTTCGATTCCCTCCTCCACCTGACTGAGTAACATGCCGCTAAAGAATATAAGAGAGAATGCGTTATACTTGGGTGAACAATACTGCTATCATTTATCTGTAAGTGTAAAATCTCTTGAAAAGCATGCCTTTATATAAAATATATGCTTTAATTGCTTAGTAACAACATTAATTATTACATTTTATAGCTTTTAATACTTTTCTATAGGTCTTGCATGAGTGATATAAACCTTGAGTAACCCATGTGTGAAATCCAACCATTTTCAGTCTGGATTTCAATCTTTGGCTTTCACAACAATACCCCTCACCCCCCCACAGTTAACACAGTTAACCAAAATATCCCATTAAATCACACTGCTCACAAACATTAAAGATTAAGGACAGAATACCTGTTCTCTGCCAGCTTTGTGTGCGGTCATGTGTCTGTCCAGCTGTGTTCGGTAGGCAAAGGTGTAACTACAGAGAGAGCAGCTGAAGTTGTCCTCACTCTTCTCGTGTCTGTATTTAATGTGCTCCTTCAGTGAGGTGTAACGCTTGTAGCCACGGGAACAATACGGGCAGGTGAGAAGCTGAGAAAATGAGTCTGGTGTGCCTGAAAGTGAGAGAAAGAAAACGTATTACAAATGAGTAGAGTTTATCATATTCATTGGAGGGGATATGTTATCTATAGACCTTATGCACCAGACAAACATGGGCGCCGTCATCTTTAGAATATTGTCTTTGAACTTCCGTTTTTGCGGTCGCTCTGAATAATTAGCTGGTGAAGTGTATTTACTTAGCCTACTGTAGAGTTAACAAAAGTTATCATGAGCATTGTAATGTTTATCATAAGCATTGTAAAGCAGATGTCTTAACAAATGTCGACCGGGAATTTTTTTTTACGAGCAGTTCATTCATACCTATGCAAGATCGCTGTGAAAATACAGACAGTAAGTCAAAAGACAACGACCGCAGTGCTGAAAAAGGGCGGAGCTACATAAGGTCTAGAAGTAGCTGCAAATGTCTGAATTTGCAAACAATTATTTCCTATGTTGTACAAATATGTAATAGAAAGGAATCCAGTTGCATGGATTTCTGGCATAGATCATTTATCTGTGCAGTGTGTGTATGTGTGTGCATTTAGACATGGATCAATGCACTGACGAATGAGAATATGAGAGTTAGGGAAGAAAAGTTATGACATTTCCCATTCTGAAATCTCTTCAGCGTGAAGAGTTGAAGAACAGCAGCCACAATGAAAAGAACACGGATTGGCAGCTGGGTAAGGCAAATAATTACATGAACAATGGATACCAAATGCTGGTGAAGCCTGTTATGTTTTAACAAAATAATACAGCCACGGATGCCAAATCTTTGTCACTTGAGTGCAGGGCACTCTGGTAATTAAACCAACATAGTAAAATGTATTAAGACATTAATATGTTTAATTGCAATGGCACAAATTCGGATGCACCATTGTCATTTATATTTCTCAAACCAAATGTCTAAATTTAAGGGAAGACTTTTATAGTGGTTATCTTGGTCCAAATAATAAAATGTCAAATGGAAAAATGAGCAGATAACACCTGGACGGCTTTCTGTCCAGCTCTCACACAGGTAACATATTACCTGTTAACGGGTAACCTATTAAACTTCTCCCTCCGGTCAGGTGAAACGTTCTCTCACACACAAACACAGCAACAGGGACGTGAGAAAGTAGTTCAGGTATGGGAGATTTGCACAGGTGTTGCAGGTGTCACAAAATCGTTTCAGACTCATTAGTGGTCTATGGTCTATGAGAAGTGTGGCTATTGTGTCTGTCTCCATATATGAGATTTGAAAGACAAATCAGTTAAATGAACATTTATGGGAACCCTTGAATTTACCAGGCTCCTGCATATATTGGTTATACAATTGGATGGATCTACGAAAATAGATTGATTAAACAGAAGAAGTAAAAAGATATTTTGAATTTGCTATTCACAAGAAGAAAATTCATATCACTTGAATTTCACACACTTGCTCCTGGATCTGTATTTGTGTTCATCGTGAGTGATATTTACAATGTGCGTGATGCGAGTATGTCTACCATTTTCATCATGTCCACTGGTTTCTGGTGTGCCCTGACGCGGTTCGTCGTCTGGAGCCTCTGGGTAGATGACTGCCGTGTCTCCTTGCTGTAGCATCTCCTCAACCAAAGCATCTCTGCTCCTTTCATCCTCGTCTGACACACACTCCTCTTTCACTGCAACACATGCAAATACATACTCACTGTTGTGTCTATGGACAGAGTAAACACTTGTATGATATGGCCCAGAGCACGATAAGAATATGAAGGATGAATAATTTGAATCAGAGCAAACAACAGCCACTATTAAACAGTACATTAGCTAAATACTTAGTGGAGTTTGAGTGGATATGAGCTTTAGCTACATAGCTTCATGTACATGGGTATATACCCCCGCAAAAACACATATTAGTCCTCGAATGCACATTTACCTATTAAAAGCAAATGAAAAAGAAATGACTCCGGTGCAGCTAATTCAATTTTGGGCTTAATGCACAATCTGAGCTCAACGTCCCCATTAAATGAGCTTCTTTAATTTGAGAAATGTACTCTCATTTTCTTTTGCTCACAAACGAAAGATTGGTTCAACTAACGATTGCAAATGAACAAGCGAAGGCTTTGGGAGAAACTGAGCCCCCGGGCATCACACTGCTCTGTGCCTTAGCTATGCGCTCTCTCATGCATATGCTGAAAATGAGTCCGCAATGTCAGCAATTACAACTAATGGCATTTGCTAGCGAGTCAAAACAACATTCGGAAACACCTGAGGACATTTGTGCATTTGTGTGTCGGAACGATTTAAGAGATCCTGCAATATGTGAGGGAGAAAAACTAAATGAAGGAGGCTTTTTTTGTGTTTATGTCAGTGTTCTTTTGCTTATTCTCACTTTTCAGCAGCTCTTTCTGTAGTGCGCTCTACCCTTGTCAGCAGTGATGTCTCCATAAGGGACACTGATTCACACCGACACTGTTTATTTGTCTGACAAGTAGGATTTTCTCACCACGGTATAGAAGGACGTCCTTGGTTCTATACAAAGAAGACATATCCTGTCATTATGATATTTGTTATTTATTTTAGTTAAAACATGTTACTCTTGAAAATGTATTTTAAATTTATTTTCAGTTCATTTAATAATTAGTTTTTAATTGTTAACATTTAAAGGTTTATTATCTTAATAATTATAAAAAATATAATATGAATATAATACTGAATAATTAATTTTATTCTATTTTATTCTGACTGAAATGGCATGACTTTACAGTAGTTTACGATTATCTACAAAAGTAGAAACATATATTAATTTATATGTATCCAACATTTGGGAAATATGACGTAAAAATAAATCTAAAAACATTTTAAATATAGTTAATATCTTGCAACATCTTGTTTTCTCATAATATTTTTGTCATTTTTGTCTCACCTTAGTTCATTTTATCTTCGTTGATAAAATCACACCCTCTGCAAACTAACATATTTTTCAGTAATTTTGCTGAGCAGAGCAACACTGCCCATCATCATGTGAGTAGGCACTAGAATAGAAGAGTAACAGAACACTATGCACGTTATAGATTAATTTGCATATTCATTTAAACTATGCTCTTGACATTTGCAGATAGAAAAACCATGAACACACTGAAAAAGATAAACTCTATCATGTTCTCATGTGATTTCAATGGCAAACGTTTCAGTAGGTCCCTCCCAAACGTTCCTGAGAGGTTTAAATCGTGTTGAAATCTGGGTGTGAGATGTTCTGCTAGTAAAAAACAGATGATTACAATAGCTCTTGCTCCAAGCTTTGCCAGCCATTACAGCATGCTGTTGTCATGACATCACAACACTACTGTAGCCGTGACATCTCACATTATAAGTGGACCAGAGATAGACATGAATATAAGTGCGGCTGGACGAGTGTCCTTCCACATTCTACACTTAGATCTTTCACATTACACCGAAACGTTCACAATCTACAGTAGGTGCAACAGGTTATTACACCACATTAATAAAAGTCCTGTGACATCTTGTGAGGGACAATATCCCCTAAGGCCATACAATAATAAACTGTTGACAGAGGCAAAGAGAGATTATCTTGTGATTATACAACAAGCTAAAACTTCCTTTGAACAGAAAATGTGTGCTGTAGTCTAAGCTCAGTGAAGTAGCTAACACACGTACAGTACAAAACATGCACTTATGATTATGTACTGACATCCTGACCTTGTGAAACACATTAAGGGTGAAGGTCAGATAAAGTGTACGAGTGCTCTGTGATGGGCTTGGTTTGATTTGAGAATGATGCACTAGTCACATGAGTGTCAAAGTTCACCCAGTTCATAGATTTACTTCAACTTGACACGGTTAACTTGAGAAACTAATGGAAAATGTGTCTAAATATTTTGAGGAACCGTGAGCGTAGTTCCACTATCCATAAAACCCACTAAACAGTTACGGTTGGTTTCTTACCGCAGCTGAATGTGAACCAAATCTGATTTTCTGCTCAAATCTGATTTTTCTGAGGTTGTTCACATGACCCTTTAAATGAAGCCTATATCAGATACTGGTTTGAACAGACAACACTCCTAAACTGATGCACAAAAAACACTCTAACCTCACTCAAAAAAGTACTCTTTAACTAACTTTATAAAATTATGGACAGTTGTTCCTCACAAGCAAATTATTTTGAATCTATGTAAGCTCCTTGTGCTGTGATAACACAACTGAATGAGAAAGAATGTGTGCAGTAGCACTTATTAATAAATTAAATGCTAAGATTTATATGCTCTTTCAGCATATGAATAAATATGGTGATTTGTAATTGAAATGGCTCTAATAATTGCAATGTAATTGAACACATAAACACAATTACTCACGATAAAGTCTTTCCCTTTCCTCATTTTCTCAAAAAACACATAAAATAACACTTAATTTCAACATTTATTCACTCTTAATTTAGCTGTATGCAAAGCATGCTGGGAACTAACAAGCACCGTCCAGTTTCAGTTAATGCAACACAAATCATTCATGTAACCCAACACAAACAGATTAAGTAAACTTTAATTTAACATATTTAAGCAGATTGAACACAATCAAATTAAGTTTGGACAAAATGAATAGAAATTCTTAAGCTCATTTGAAGCAGTTTGAACAAGCAGCCAAAATGTTTTTTTTTTTTCATTGCAATATATTTAAAGCATTCCAGAAAAGACTTTCCTGAAATACTAACAGAAATGAAATACTTTGCCTTTATATTAACTTTATATTTTCTCTGAGGTTATGAATTGTACATTGATTAATTATAAGGGCAAAGAGATTTCTTTTTTAAAGAAAATATTTATGATAAAAATTTATTAAATTATCATCATTAAATTGATAAAAAATGACTACATTATAATGTTATAAAAGATTTATATTTCAAATAAAAAATAAATACTGTTTGTTTTAACTTTCTATTCATAAAAGAATCTGAAATATTAGGCTGCACACACACACACACACGCACACACACACACACACAATATATAAATATGGTATACATACATATACACTCACCTAAAGGATTATTAGAAACACCTGTTAAATTTCTCATTAATGCAATTATCTAATCTACCAATCACATGGCAGTTTCTTTAATGCATTTAGGGGTGTGGTCCTGGTCAAGACAATCACATGAACTCCAAACTGAATGTCAGAATGGGGAAGAAAGGTGATTTAAGCAATTTTGAGTGTGGCATGGTTGTTGGTGCCAGACGGGCCGGTCTGAGTATTTCACAATCTGCTCAGTTACTGGGATTTTCATGCACGACCATTTCTAAGGTTTCTAAAGAATGGTGTGAAAAGGGAAAAACATCCAGTATGCAGCAGTCCTGTGGGCGAAAATTTCCAAGAGCTCACCAAAACTGGACAGTTGAAGACTGTAAAAATGTTGCCTGGTCTACGATCTGAATGTCTCAACAGAAATTGAGACTCATCAGAGTCAGAATTTGGCGTAAACAGAATGAGAACATGGACCCATCATGCCTTGTTACCGCTGTGCAGGCTGCTGGTGGTGGTGTAATGGTGTGTGGGATGTTTTCTTGGCACACTTTGGCCCCTTAGTGCCAATTGGACATTGTTTAAATGCCACGGCCTACCTGAGCATTATTTCTGACCATGTCCATTGTCCATCCCTTTATGGCCACCATGTACCCATCCTCTGATGGCTACTTCCAGCAGGATAATGCACTATGTCACAAAGCTTGAATCATTTCAATTTGGTTTTTTGAACATGACAGTGAGTTCACTGTACTAAAATGGCCCCCACAGTCACCAGATCTCAACCCAATAGAGCATCTTTGGGATGTGGTGGAACAAGAGCTTCATGCTCCGGATGCGCATCCCACAAATCTCCATCAACTGCAAGATGCTATCCTATCAATATGGGCCAGCATTTCAGACCAGCAGCCAGCACTACGTCTCCCAGAATTCACCAGCTTCACTTTTCCTGATTAAAGTTCTGGTGGGATTTCCATTATGAGTAAGGCACTTACAGCACATTCCCCAGTGACCAATTACTCCATCGCCATATGCTCAGGCACTTTAAAACCTAGTCAAATATAGAATGTAATCCTCCCCAACAGTAAAAAAAATGAGGTAAGCCCATCCACCATGTTCCTTGTTCCATTATGCTAGGTGCCTATGCTCACCGCATTACGTAAATGGCTGATTCCTAATGTCTGTTCAAGAAATGTGTGGTTAAATTACAGGGGAACACAGCAATATAACATATCAAATTGGATATGCAGCGTCACTATCCATGCGACAGTAATCATGTATTGGTTTACAGAGTATTTCCCCATAAATGACACTGAGGGGAGCCTTTTCATCTTAGAGAACATGAGAGCTGACTGTGAGCGAGTGGCCAGTCATCTGATCGTGAAGAATGAAGTGCAGAGAAGTATAGCACGGACGGAGGGAAAGTAAAAGCGGAGGTTGAGGTAGAGGGGCGCAAAAGAATTGCAGCCTTAAAACAAACACAGACGGAGAGACCACAGAGTCAGCCGTACTGTCTCTAAGCTCGGTGGTACTCTAAAATAGAGATCGCTGCCAAGATAAAAAGAAAGAAAATAATGAAAGGTGTGGGATAGCCTGGAATGGAGAGTGAGAGTTGGACTGATAGTGCTGAACCATTATGGCTAGTGGCTGTTTTACAGCCCCGAGCTCTATGAATGATGGGAAGCTTAGTGTATATAACTCAAACACGACATCTGAAAAAAGAGAACAATGCACATTACATCTCGGCAGACCAATTTCTCTATGTGACACACTTCCTAATGGCTCGTATATCTGGGCCTCTTTCTGCAGCTGAGCTATTGGCAATGGAGATGCTAAAGCATGAAATGAAGGAGAAAAGGTGCAACAGGTGCTTGGATCCTGTGCTGTAACATGTTAAAAGGAAGAACACGCAAAGAATTCAGGGAAAACATTAGAGACTTACAACAACACTTTATTGAAAGAACACTACAACAAAGAAGCAACAGGTGAACAAAGAAAGACTACAAAGAGTTGAAGGTGGTATGGAGGTAAAAAGAAGAGATTCAAGAGAGTGTAGTCCCTTTCTCTTAACTCAGGTTTCTGTGAAGTGTTTAATGTTTGGCGAGCTCTGCCAAAAACAATGACTTTCTCCTTCACTGCAGCTTCATCCTGCAGTGAACTGACAGAGAAGCCGGGAGAGAGAAATGAATGAATACTGGCAGAAATTAAAATGACATAGAACTATGAATTTCTGGAGCAAACCTACAAATACATAGAGAGGAGAGTAGAAAATGTACTGAATGAAAAAACTGAACGCGAGGCTGCTGTGCAAGCAGTTGCTGTGGTTATAGCAGCGGTATATTACCTGCCATGATGCCTGCGTCCCGCAACACTAACCATAATGCGCAATAGCATGCTGATAGCTCACACACAGCAGACTTTGTGTTCACCTTTTCCAGCATAAACAATCCCTACACTGCAGGCAATACATATTAACCCAAGGACAGGAGAAATGCCTTTTGTAAAAGAGAGCTCTATTGTATCCTTGTCACTCTCTATCAGGATAGATCATTATCCAGATCGAGCCAAGATTTCAGCATCACAATAAAAACATGGTCTACATTTTCTGAAGAAAATACCCGTGCTTGAAAGCCAGCAAAAGAGTGGTGTTGAATTTTACGAGAGAGATTACAGAGAGAGATTCACGTACCCTTAAAATAACGTTTGTGTAAGTTTATAATGTTGACGATTACCGACTGGAAACTGACTAGTCAATTTGAAAAGTCATCTAATTTATCTACAGATTTTCCACAATTTCTGATTTTTTTTTTTTAATGTTTTCCCCATTATTATTCTAGTCCTAGATTGCGGTGACATTAGCAAATTTTCTATGAAATTTCACTGACAAAAACTTGTCCATTGCCAGTAATAGTGAGGCAGAAGTAACCAAACCGAGCTGCTTTCTGTTAGACGATGCAGCAAGTTAAATCCGTTGCCAAATCTGTGTAGGAAAATATTTTGCCTTCACATGAAATTCCAGATGCATGGATTTCTTCTGAGATGACTGTATTTAACCTCTGAAAATTAGATGAACATTTTAGCCTTTCAAGGAAAGGCAATGTCAAGTTCTATCTATTTGAATGGGGGAGTCCTGCAATCTCAAAATCTGGTTGCCGCACTCCCATTTCAATAACATATTTTATATCAACAACAAAATCTCACATGAATTGTCCCATAAATGTTGTCTCGTATGTTCAAATAGTGTTTTTAAACCTTTTTTTTCAGACTAAACCAAGCAATGTGAATGTGCAGTCCTAAGCGAGCGTCTCAGGTTTACAGAAGTAATTTGCTCTTTTATTTAGAAGGTGGGACGTATTCCACCATATAGATAAAAAATCGTCTTTGCATATCTATCTATAGTCTTTGATTTTATTCCCCCTTTAGATTTTCTCAGTATTTATCTGATGCTTTAATTAGTGTGATGACAGTAAGCTTTTAGAGAGTTTACATAGCAAACCCTCATGGAAAAGCACCACAGTTACAGCCATAAACATTCAGACAGACCTGGCTTTTGCGTCATGTCTAGCGCTGTTTTTGGAGCGGTCACAAGCTTTGCCATTTTGAAACAGCATGTCAATTTAAAAATAGTCTAACTTTTAAAATATACACCTTGAAACACCTGTGTTCTGCTACATCTAGCTGTTTTTGAAAATGTCCTATAACCCAAAATTAGAGTCAATATACAGAGAATTTTTGATAACGATATGTCTCAATTAAGCGGGCTTACCATCATCCCATCTGCCGTCCGGGTCGGCGGCCCCATTGGGGTCATCGTCAGGGGCCACGCTGTCACAGTCAGCCCCGTCCAGAAGACTCCCTTCCTCCTCCACAATGTGAAGCTTATCTTCATCATCTGAGTCTGACTGGCCCTCCAGCACATGACTGTAGTTACTCACTGCAGAGACAGAGAAACACAACACTTAAGGAGAATGTTAACATGTGGAGCCTGCAAATGCTTGCAAACCACAAAAGGTTTGATGAAACCCTCAAGATTTGGAAAGACGCTGTTGGTGAAAATGACAACAAGATAGAGCCAGACAATATTAAAGAGAGACAGACACAGCAGCTCAGACGAAGCCAATTGTTGAAGCCGTAGAGATGACTGAAGAGATGTAGAGAGATGAAGTGTGCTTCAGGGAATAATTCAATTAAATACCAAATAGTAGTGGAGCAGTTCCTGTGTCTTTCAGTGAGCCAATGAAACAAGACAAAGAATCACTCGAGATTGAATCAATAAATCAGAATGGCTTGTGTTAACCATTTGTGGCCAAACGGTTCAGTGTGGACATGGTCAGACACTGTAATCATATCATCTCAAACGTGAAATGACAATCAAGGTGCTATAATAGTGAGATCATTTACCATACAACACAAGAAACATGTCTTTTTATTGGTGTGCAATCAGGGAAAAAAAGGCCATTTGTAACATTTAAATGCCTGTTTACTTTTTTGACAAAGACCTCGTTGACCTCGATTTCAGCAGCACAGAAAAAAGAAAGAGATCGAGCTAAAACACCATTGATTTTCTGTAACAGGCCAGACGATCTTAATTAGTAATGTATGTGTTTGCATGCTAGGCTAAGTGTGATTTGACATTCTATTAAAACAGCGGATGACGGAGTGGTAAGCTCGCCCAACAAGTTCTCATTCGTTAAAGGTAAGTGCTGGCAGGACAAGGCCTCTAATGGAGCATGCATAAATCAAGAGGAGGTTAAATGCTCAGATTTATAAATTTAGCTAAAAGAAAGACAGTTTCAAACACAGTGACAGGAAACATCCAGCACTTCTATATATCTTGGATGTAGAGTTTGTGGCCACCTGAGGAATCTGCATTACTGTTATTCTGAAAATTGTCATCATTTACTAACCCTTAAGTCAGTCTTTGTTTTGAGGAACACATTGTGTGTGTGTGTGTCTCTGTAAAAATGAATATGCTTTATCTAATCAATAGAATTGTGACAACAGATTACAAGCAATATTATTATTTAAACTTAACAAATTAGAATTGAGTAATAATTAATCAAATTATTCCTTAAAAGTTAACCATTTAAAATTAGTAAAGTTTACAAAAAAAATGTAAATACAGACGTCAAAGATTAGTTAAGAACTCTTTATTTTATTTTGCCAACATTGAAGACACCTGATGTTAACAAGCAGAACTGCTGAAGGAGAACCCCGTCATTTTAAAACAAACCAAAAACAAACACCGATCACCATAATGGTGACTTAAATTTATGTTTTTTTGGTCGTTGTTGCACGTTTTACTCATTTTTAATGGTTAACTTTTAAGGAATTAATTGATTAATTTTTACTCAATTCTAATTTGTTACATTTAATTAATAATAATGCTTGTAATGTGTTGCCACAATTGTTTTGATTACATTAAGCATATTCATTTTTACAGTGTAGGGTCCAAACAGTTGAAGCATTCAAGATATCTTATTTTATATTGCACAGAAGAAAGAAAGTCTTAATATGAAGGCAATTCAATTATGCAATATTTTTTGGGGTGATCTGTCTCTTTGATTGGTCGAAAAAAGCAAATTTCCCAATACAGATATTTATACGTTAAATGTACATGACACAAAAGACAAGAGTAATTATCATTGTAATATATGTGAATCATTGTTGACCATACACAGCAGGAATGTACTTTTTGCAGGGAAAGAAATATGTATAAAGAAGAGCCTTCCTCTCCATCCTCCTCCTCCTCTCTCTCTCTCTCTCTCTCCATTTCTCTCGCCATTCTCACTCTCCGTCATTCTTCTTTTCCACTCTTCTAAGTACCTCTCTCTGGCCAAATCAATTTTCCTTTGAGAGGAGCAAAGTCAGCAGAGGGGCTGGCCGTAGATTCTCTCTCTCTCTCACACACACGCGCACACACACACACACACACAATATCTCTTCTACCGGGCTTATCTGGCACATTTACATTCAGCTGATTTTGTGCTTTTTGTTGCACTCTTTAACCAACTCGCTCTCTCGTTCGCTCTCAATCTTCTTTTATTTCTCTGGCCTGTACTTTCATTCTCCACCTGTTCTGGGCATGTATAAACCTCTTAACCTCTTTCTTTCTCTCTATCTCACACTCTCATCTTTGGTTTTAAGGTCATGGATCAAAGCAAAGACCTTTGCCACGTCTATGTACCTGAAAGTAGTGTCTCGACATGTGCCGTGGTTGAAAAATGCTGTCCATAGCAAAATGAAAAAAAAAAAAAAAATCACAATCATAAAGATAGACCCATCGTTCACTAGCCACAAGTTCTGTCAAACCTATCCGAGTGATGCACAGATCACCACAACAGTCAATTCGGTGTACTGTGAAGGAGATGCTACCAATCCCATCAGGCTGTTCAGCCAAGGGAAGCAAACGGTGTGGCTAGTCAGCAGAAGACAGAAGTAAAGGGACAGCAGAGAGTGTGTGAGCTCACTGTGAATGATCCATGACAAACAGCCACGAGCCTTGTTCCGCCGTTCCACATGAGAGATTTCATTACAGCCTTCAGGAGGTACACACAGGAAAAGTGACTAAACAAACAGTTTACAGAGAAAGGAATAGCTCACATTATGCTGGAGCTGTAAACTAAAACGGTGTGAAGGCACTGGAAGAACAAACTGTCCTTAATAAAAAGCACATAAAGGAAAGCATAAAATATTCAACATCTGTACTTTAAAGTAGAGAGGTTAGAGGTCAGTGTCTGGGTGTCCCTTGTATTTTTGGTCAAATAAATGCAGCCTTGGTGAGCATGAGATACTTTTTTTCAAAACTTGCAGTGTAAATAGAGTGTAATTGATTAAAAAAAAACCCTGTAATAGAGAAAGAACAGGAAATAATGATGAAAAGGGATACTGAACAACAGCTCATTGTATTTTTAGCATGTGCGTTAGCCACCAGGTCAAGGCTCTACTATTACTCAGTTATATAAATGCTTGGTAAATGTACTTCCTACAATTTTTCTCTAAATATCACATATACTTGTCCAAAACATTGACATTCCACCGAAACATTCAATGGTCTTCTTTGCATGTGTTACCGGCATGCACAGCACTATGAATATGTCAAGTCAGCCTATGAAACCATTAGCCTAATGAGTCTACATTCCTACAGGTCAATCAGTTTTCCAGCTATGCCTCAACTATGGATTTTACAATCAACCTAGTGAGGTGATATGTTGACTGGGCAAAAACTGGACTCCAATCTGCTACTCTGTAAGCTACCTGCACGATAAAGCCTGTATTCCCAGAACTCCAAGTGATTCTCCGAAGCAAACATGTTTGAGACCACTTAATAGGGCACTGCAGTGATATCTATCAAGGTACAGATAGATAAATGCCTATTAAAGAGTTCCCTAAATGAGTACACACACAAAAACTGACTGACCTGTGTAGGTCAGCTGCTTGTTAGCAGTACATCAAATATAGAGACTTTAAATAATGAATTGAACTTTCTTTCATCTAAACCTGCAGCTCAGATAAAAGACAGATGAGACTTCAAGGCAGACAAGAGTTATTGATTTGTCATTTAGGAAGGTGAGCTGCAAGTTTCCCATGAGTCTTTGGCACTAACAACATTCTCATCTGCTACTTGCCCTCTCAATCGCTATGTAGAGGTTATTCAAGCACAATGGCGTGATTGAGACAAGTAAGACATGTTGCTGGTTCAAAATGAACAAATCGAGCAATACACGATATTAATATTAATATCTAAAAACAAAAATCTGTCATTGTAAATGACAAGTGAATTTAGGCATCAAAATAATATGTACAGTACGGAAATGGATATTAATTTATGATATTTGCAAATTATTATATTTTACAGTGCACTAAAATCAACTGGTTTTAAAGATTAACTTTAAGGTAGCATAAGATGAGTGCAAAGGTATCTAAATGTAAAAACGGGATAATATAGATTATATATATACTTACCAACCCCACATTTTTGGATGGTATTTATACTATAACAACCGATACCGATCTCTAATATAACAACGATATGGTACATCTGACCTTTGCATAGTTTGCTACGTGAAGATACATAGAATTAGCCAGTAAGAATCAAATGTGCCAAGAGAACAAACAGTGTGTTAAATCTTTCAGGAGTGTCTCTCTCCTGGAACACTCTCTGCAGAACATATTAATCATTGTGGCCTGTGGTGTAAGAAAATAATCACTGGGGCACACTGATACCTCGCTCAGGATTCTGTTCATGGGATTTATCACCATTGAAGGGATCTTGAGGGGGGGCACAAGAGCTGTAAATTACAGCATGCTTTCCTCTTTACAGCGACAGCCACGTTTACCTCCCAAAGTCCAGAGCTTTGTATGGAAAGTAACTGGTTGTATACCTGTAAGTCTGCCTGAACCAACATATGACAGCACGAGGTGGATGATCTCTAAAAAAAAAAACCTTAATGGCCTATAATTGGGTTTCCATTCCAAACACAGTTGCCTTTAGAGGTTATGAACGTGTGTTTTTTCCAAAGCTATCTTTGTGGCGAGAGAATGGTTGTTTGTTTTAGAAGGAGGCTACAGTAAGAATGAATAGCTGGGTTTTTCACTCGTTTGTTCGTCCAGGAGTGAGAGAGCTTCTAGTTTGCTCCTCCAACCTTGGTGAGAGAAGCTATGCGTGGAATGTCCAATCATAACACTCTCCCTGAGTGGCTGGACCATAACGACAGATCGCTGTGTCGGCGTTTAAAAAAAAAACACCTTCATTACAACAGGCACATACTGCACTGTTGCTTTTCAATTAGTTGTGCATGTTACTGTTGCTCATTTAGCTTTAGCGATTTAAACAAACCAATAAGTATAATTTGGTGCGCAACCAGACTAGAACTTGAATGATTCCTCAAATCATCATTTTGATGAGGATGGGTGTGCTGTTACTTTGTTTGA